TAGACATTATACAGCTAATAAAAATTGTTGCTTTTTATGAATAAAACTCATATAACTATAGTGATTTTACTTATTGTTACCATATGTCAGTCATAGAATAGAAGAATGGGCCTAGTTTTTGTTTGTTTGTTTGTTTGTTTTTAGAGACAGAGTCTCACTCTGTCACCCGGGCTAGAGTGCAGTGGTGTGATCTCGGCTCACTGCAAGCTCCACCTCCCAGGTTCACGCCCTTCTCCTACCTCAGCCTCCCAAGTAGCTGGGACTACAGGCGCCCGCCACCACACCAGGCTAATTTTTTATATTTTTAGTAGAGACAGGGTTTCACCATGTTAACCAGGATGGCCTCGATCTCCTGACCTCATGATCCGCCCGCCTTGGCCTCCCTAAGTGCTGGGATTACCGGCGTGAGCCACTGTGCCTGGTCAGAATGGGCTAGTATTATGGTGCATAGGTCCAGCAAAGGAAATGTGCTGGTCACTTCTGGTAGTAAATGGCAAACAAAGAATAAGGTAGTTTCCAAAACTTCTGTGAACCAAATCCAAGTGGGGAGTGCCTGTGAGAGCAACACGTAAAACACTGTTACTGGTCCGTGGAACTATTGAATCTAGGGAAAGAGACCACTATCCAGGGATTTTCCTTTTATGAATGGTCTTGAAGGTTTCATCCAGCAAGAGAGAGACTATCTCTAAAGGGACAGGACAAATCAGATCCCTAAAGATCAGGAGAGGGTTAGGTATCACCAGGTTCACCTGGAGAAAGATGACCACAAAGCCAGGGTCAAGCTTCAGATCTGATGTTCACTTACAGATGTGCTCTTCCCACCCACAGACAGAGAATTACATCAGGTACTACAACTAGTTTCTGCAGTGCTAGAGACCCAGGGTTGCTACCCCCATACAGCATGGCTCCTGTTTTTTGATCATCAGGACTTGCTGAAGTCTTTATGAGAATACAAAGGGTCCAGAAAGCTGAGCACAACAAAGGAAGACAAGAAATAGAATGGATGCCATGGAGGAAGTAATGGGAGGCTACTGGGTAAAAACCCCAACTACCTACAGTTACAGCAAGAAGCCTACTGCAGCGTGTGGCAGGGGCAAGCAGTTTCAATGTGGTGCAGTGGCATTTGCTGGTGAGTGGCACTTGTTCACTAGGATCTTCAAACTTTTCTTGATCTAGGACAGAGTGATTTGAAGGTATTCACCTATAGAATGGGGTTTTTTCTGGGTACGGTCTGATGCCTGAATACAACCCATAACTTCCCTGAAAGCCTATGTTACACATGAAGTTATAAATGGATTTGTACATAAATTGCTCCAAGGAGGTAGGTAATCCAATTGCTCAGGCAGTAAGAGGCATTTTTCCCAATACTCAGTTTATACTGTTTCCCGGGCCACTGGTCGAGAGCTGAAAGGCAGTCAATATGCCAAAAACATCTTCCAAATAAAGACATGTAAACCAGCATGGCATGGACAGGCATCTAGGGAGATGAAGCAACTAGATAGGCCAAAAATGGTTCTGCACAGAAAAAAAAAAGTCATCCTTGATTGTGTATAACTTCTAAAGATGGAAAAGGGAGATCTGAAACAAAATTGAGCATAGCTAGTTTTTTTGGCCAGATACCTGCAATTGTACAACTTTGTGTGGTCAAACCCACCATGTCCCATGAAGTCCCATGGAATCAGGGATCCACCAGGGAAGTGTCACAATCCAGGCAACATCTACAGTCAAGTCTCACCCAAGAAGACATACAGCTTCCTTCTGAAGTCACATCAAAGTAGTCCTAGAGATCTAGCAGGTATGACTCACTACTAGGTCAGTCTGTGGTTAGTTCTGGAACAGACTTTCCAGACCTACTTGGCACTGCAAAGTTCTCTAGGAGGAGAATCTCCCAGAATGTGATGACTTCTTAGCTATCCTTATACTCTTTCTGGCAGGGCCAGAAGTTTGTAAACATTGAGTTTACTAATACACAAATAGGTATTTTACTAATCAGGTTATGTCCAAGTAAGTATGAATTTAAGAAAGCCTTCAAATCCTGAATTTCTTGGCTGCAGACACTGCCCAGGTGAATCTACAGCCCTTCTTCAAGAGGTTATCATCCAGGAAGTGAGACGGCAAAATCTGCAATGAACCATAGGGAAATAGTAGCCCACGAAGTCTAGAAACTACTGAATATCCTATGGTCACCTTTGCCAGGATTCCCTGAAAGCAGAGGATGCATCCGAGGACCTTGACCTTTATAAATTCAACCAAGAACTCCCTGGACTGGCAGCTTTGTCATTACACAAATACAAGACTGCCCCTGGAGCCAGAGGTCACGCAGGATGCCACTCACTAACCAGTGATTCCAACCTGGAAAAGGGATATTAGCTATTTCTTAGGTGTGTTCAGGTGAAGAATACTTGAGAACTACTGCATAGTCAGCTAGAGGAATAGAGGTTGCCAGTGCCAAAGACCTGACAGAATATTTAATCTGACTAAGTCCTATAAGAATTTCCTAAAGCTGCACTCGAGATCATAGGTACCTGCGAGCTGGTCCGTAGTTCAATGATGAACAGGTGACCTCATTCAGACCATAATGGTCTCAGCCTCTTTTCACCATAAAAAATGAAAGTCTCTACGTAAGTGCCAAGCCCCTCATGGGCAGATTGCTCTAGTGGTAGATTGCTCTCACGGGTGGCCAGCAGGCTTTTACTGGGTCATTGGGTGAATGCTTGAACAGGATTAGCCAAGAAGTCAATGATGTCAAATCAGAGGAACAAAGGAGAGAAAAGATAAAATGAAGAGGTCATCTCAGTGGGGAGCCAAGACCTTCAGAGGACAAGCTGCCAGTTTGGGGAGGACTAATTAGGATGGGGCCCACCAGGAAAAATAGGGAAGGGGAGACGAGTACCATTAAAGAAGAGATGGAGGCCATGATTATTAGGGAAAACGGGCAGTTCATATAGGGACAGACAAGACAGAGCAATTTAGTGCAGAATCCTATCCAATGCAAGAGTGTTAAAACTGAGCTTTTACTTAGAATTTTATAACCCTAAATATCCCATTTAAACCTCTCCCCCAAATTATAAAATTACCTGTTGCTGAGTAAGGACCCTAAGACCATTAAACTATCCTCCATCAAAGTGATAATTTCTCCCGATTCGGTTCCTTTGAGCAGGAGCTCTCCTTTTCCCTTAAATGCTGCAAAACTCAGATTTTGGTTGGTCCAATTCTCAATCACCTGAGTCAGCTTGGCTTCGATATCCTTCTCCTTAATGGCAGATATGCAAATATCCTTTGAAGGAAAAGCAAAGAATATGTCATGATGTTTTCAACTACAAATTAAGTGCATCACAAAATCATAGAATTTTTTTTAGCTTGAAAGGGACCTGGAAGTCACCCAGTTCATGTAGTCATTTTACAGCCAAGAAAAGGCTTCAGATCAGTGTGTTGCAACTTGACACTAGAGTCTTATGACTCGCCGGCTACTAATTATTTTTCTGTACCACATACATGAAACAATGGAACTTAAATCATCATTTTTCAGATTATGTTTTCAATTGGAGCTTCTGGCTAAAATGGGGATAATCACAGCTGCCCTGTCTATCCCAGAGGTTAGCTATGAGAATCAAATGAGAACATACACAACAGTCTTTTGAACACTTTCAAGTAACATATAGATATTACTATATTCCTGCCTGTTCTGGTCCTAATATGAATATCTCATTTGCTTAAACATCAGTTGTTTTTTTCTTATGGGTTTTTCCGTATTTTTGGGGGAATACTTAATAAGAAAGACTCATGAAAGAAAATAAAAGTAACATATTTTCCCCACAATGCCTCAACTTGTGTTCATAGTTAGAATCACAGAGATGAAAAAGAATTTAAAGGTGTGAGATGTTTCCACAAATGATCATAACACAAATTAGTGTGGAATGAATGTCCTAAGAATGATGTGAACCATGGTGATGTCTGAGGACGGAGGCCTGTGCTGAGGAGGAACGGCTTCACAGAGGAGGAGGTGAGATTCCAGCAGACGCTCTCTGGGAGGAAGAGGAAATTCTGTCCTGAAGGGAAGGCTTCCTTTAGAGGCAGTGAGTCCAGTAACAACAGGAATCTAATTTGGCTAATGCTAGGGCATGTGTGGTTGAGCAACTGGACGTATCTGGGTAGACAGTACTAAGACTCTGTTTTGTGTACCAAGAGTAATTAACAGAATCCTTGAATTACTTGAAATTGTATAATAAACCACAGCCTACGAATGGCTACATTATTAAGTATAAACACATACTTATAAGAAGCAGATGGTCAGCCAAAGTGTTTCTAACTCTTTGTTTCTTTGTGATATTTACAAATAGGACAAAAATGCTTTGAAAGAAAAGCTTTTTGTGTACACAC